CACCACCAGGTGGAGGCGCACAGAGTTCTAAGTAGCTGGCGGTGAAATTTGCTACATAAAATCTCCATTTTATCGCATTTTTGTCTGCTACTTTTGGTGCGGCCCAGTTGGGAAGTGGGAATTTCCCACTTATAAGTTGTAAATTTAACCTGGATCACCCCTCCAGTGGGAATTCCCTGTCAGAAAGTGAAGGAGGTCATAATTGAAGACAGCAACTTTTTACCACAAATCAACAGCAGCCATATTTCCATGTAATGAAAATTTTGAGCAAAATTTCAAAGTGTCACAAAAAAATAAAGAAGAAGAAGAAGAAATGTGAATTAGGCATATTTCCATCTATTGGTTTGGAGTGAATAATCCAGGCTAYGCAAAATGTTAACTTGTCAGATGTTGACGTTAGGCATGGCTGTGGTAAACAGGAAGTAAATGCAAACTAGCCGGGACCAAACATCTTGTGACAATAGAGAGACTTTTCAGGAAAATGTTGCTATCAGGTAAGTTGTAATTGTTCTATCAACTAGTGTTGGTGATGTTGCATGATGTCTGGAGATGTACAGGAAGAAATGCAATTCTTTTTGCGTTACAGGAATAGCTGGGAAGAAGGGCGAAGTGAGAATAGCTGATCAATTATGTGAAGTAAATGTTTGCTGTGKCAGCAAATTTGTTTTCATCTCCTTTTTTGCACATTAACTCTTTTTTGTAGAATCCAAAAACCACCTCCACCAAGCATAAAAACCTTTTCCCGAATTTTGCCCTTTCCATCAACCTTTTCTAAAGCAATACTTCAAAATGCACTTCAAAAATTGTTAATGGAAACACGGCTAGTGTTATTACTTTTAATAGTATTTCTGTGTTCAAATGCTGTTTCTATGCACAAAATACCACRCAGAGCTCAGTTGTTTGTTAGCTGTGCTCAGCCGTAGCAATGAAACAAGGAACGTGACGTTTCATGTTTGGTTGAAGTTAAACTCAAAACRTCCAAGTTAATTTGAAGGCCACCATAACGCTCGGAGAAAAAGAGTTTGACACTCCTGTTTTAGAGTCAACAAAGTCAAGATGGCCGCCACAGACATTTGCTTTGATTTATTTTCCAAAGCTGCAGGATGAGTCATGAATCAAAAGCCATGATGGAAATAATAGAACTCAACTAAGGGTGCTTCAGTGCTTCCACTGTTAAAAATACAGAGGAGCTGATTTACCTGGAGCATGACTCACATGTTCCAGATTGTTCTGCATGCAGAAAAGAAACAAACAAAAAAACAGAACTCCATTGAGAAATCTTGCCTCCTTGCTGCTCAGTTCTTTCATTCTTCGCGTAAGAAGAGTAGGCCATTGAAGCTTCTTTGCTCATCTCCTTCTGGTCCTGCCTCAGTCAGAAATCACTCTCCAGCTCCAAGCAACTCCTCAGCACAACAGCTCTGACTTGAGCTGGTGCCAAAACAACGAGACTCTGCATCTCTACAGAGTCTTGCTCTCTTCCACTGGCTTGAAAAACGAACACTTTAAACCCAGCCTGATGCCAAGATACACAGTTTTCTACAAGTCAAAGTTGAAGTAAAGACCCCGCTTCTATGCACTTCCAGGACTTGATCTTTCTTTGAGACCCTCACTGATCTCTGTGCACTTTTTCAACACTCTACCACAGGATAAGCAGATTTGACTTTGATGCAGGCATTCTTTTTTTTTTTTTTTTTTTTTTTTTAGTTCGTGCCAGTTTTTTTTTTTTTTTGGGCAGTCTGGTTTACTGTGTTTGTGTTGAATTTTGTTGTTTACCATACCACACCACTTTTATTTATAAAGCACTTTAAACAGCACAAGGCCAACCAAAGTGCTGTACAGTAGACAGACACAACAGGACATAGTCAAAATACAGATATGGAGCATTTATATTTAYAGTACTAATAGAACAGAGTTATGATACATGGTGTTTGACAAATTCCTTCAGTTTGGTAACTGTTTTTCTGCTTTTCCATGCATTCAGTTAGCCTTGCTTGACATTGTTTTAGAATGATCCTTTGTGAATTYGGTTTTAAGAAACAAATAGCAACATAAATAAGTAAAATAACTGAAAATCTACTTCTGTCATCAGTAGCAGCAAACAATTACTTTAAGGAACAAAATCTACCAGCATACACTGGTTACTTTTGCACCATTTAAGACAAGTGTTAAAAAACATGATGTTTCAGCTTTTGCACAACTATTGCAACACCAGTTTTCCTGGGTTCAGAAGCATTTGCTTGATTGGTTACACCTGGATGCCTATGATCTCTTGGGAATAGCATCACTTTCTCCATTTTCCAGCACAACATCACAATCAGTGTGTTGGATGGAAAGAAATCTCTGTGCGTGCGGATCTGTTGGATATGATGTACAATGAACCTAATTATCAACATGCAACAAAACTGCCAATGGAACAGAAAGGGATAACTAAGATCTTTTAGTATGAACCTCTGTGGTTATGAAGAATCAATATCTTACCTGTTATAGCTGAACAACATCAGTTTGAAGAAATACAGTTTATTAGGATTGGCCATGGAATATCACGCCAAAGATTAGCTACCAAAACACTAATGGCCTTTTTACAATGTAAGGCACGGCCCAGCCCCAGATGGCCTGATCTTACTATACCCCAGTGCTGATTGTATTCARTTTAACCAGAGTGCCTCCTCCATGAGAGTGAGCATCAACATATTAAAAACATGCAAATCTCATTTTGTTTTAATTGCAACACAACAACGAACAACATCAAGCTAGATAGAAAAGTACAGAAGACTGTACCGGACCATCCAACAGTATGACATGGAAGGCAAGTGGGCAAGGCGACAGAGGAGGGTAAACTAATGCTAGCTAATATTAGCTTGTTGTTGCCTGGTAGCTTGCTCCAGTTCTTGTATAGTTGAACTCTAGTGAAAAAAAAACGTTACAATTGTTGCAAACGATTCAAGAAAAGTCTCATTAAGCTGTCTTATTATGTAGTGGAGAGYTAAAACCATGAGATCCTGTTTTACAAACGCTGCCTTGTTGTATTTTTGTAACCAGAGTCTTTGAACCTGCGATGCAGGGTTTTAAAGGAATAGTTCAGTCAACTTTAAAGTGAAATTCTGTTTAAAAGTTATCAAAAATTATTAGCTGTAACATCAGTCATAGAGCACAGAGTATGAAGAAAGAGACACAAGTTTTCCTCCAGTTTAGGCTAATAGTTAAATCAAATCCCAACGTTTGTTGGTTTTCAGGCTTCTTAAAAAAACTTTCTTAAAATTCACACTGTAAAACAATGCATTAGATTAAAGCTCTACCTGTTTGCTTGTTGATGTTGGATTAGTTTGTTGCTGGTTTCTCAACCAAACAATGTCTATATTATTATGCAACTGTGCATGGAGCATAGACAGGCCAATAGCATCAAGGTCTTTGAATGTACCAGCCAACCCATGGGTTTCCAACCCTTTTTGGTTAAGTTACACCTGCCTACCTGCTGCATTGCRCTCTTATTTCCTCACCAACATTAAAAAAAAACCTTAATAATAATGCCTTGCACTTCTAATGCAAATTATGACATTTACAGTAAAGACTAGCTGTTAATGTATCAGTCTGGTCAGGATTGAACTATTTCTCAAGAGTGAGGTTGTTCATTGATCTATTTCTCACAAGTAGAACATGAAAAGYTTTTTTTCCTTATACAGAACTTCACGTTAAAAAGCCTGAACTATCCCTTCAAACTGTTTAATGTCAGACATGAACCAGAACCTTCCCAGGTGCGGTGCTGATAAATACTGTATGAGTCCGGAGCTTTTCCRTCTGCATGAATTTCCCTCTTTTATGCCCTGACAAGCTTTCAGCACCACGGACAGCAGCAAGCGTGACTCAGGCCGAATGTGCTAACAAACACAGACTCTTCAGGTCCTCCTCGCCTGGCAGGGTTCTGTCTGTGGTGCTGAACTGCTTATGCAGCCGTAATAACACAGTTCAGTTCTGGACCCTCAGAGATCCAGATTATTATTCTGCACATTACAAAAAGGAAAAAAAAAACTTAAAAATATATATAATTTTAATGTAGATTGTGTTTCATGCCTGGCAAAAGCAGTGATAAGCTAAATATGAATATCTATTTAAGATTTTCATATATTTCCAGTGATAGATGAGCCATTATGTTTTGGTTTTTTTTTTACATTTGTGTTGGTAAGTGTCTGTTAGCAAAATATCTGACAAGCCCGTGAATGGATTGAAATTAAACTCTCCGTAAGTAATCGCAAGACTTACATCGACAACTGATTACACTTTGGAGTCAACACAACTCAAGATGCAGGCCACAGACAATTAACTTTAGTAAACAAACACCTGGCTCTAACTCAATCAGTTTTACAGTTAATGAACTATAAACTGCAGTGGTGGTAGTTGAGAGTCATCACAACCTTTACTCCAAGCGCAAACAGATTGAAAATGTATTTGCTTAAAGATGTCGGCCATTAATTTACGAGTGAACTCTGCTTGTCTGTTAGCAAAATATCTTGAGCGCATCTCAATGGATTGTACCAAAACTTTCAGGAAATGCCCAATAGATATGAATCTACGACTGTTCAATGTTTGGAGTCAACACGTTTCAAGTTGGACGTCACAGCCAAGTTAGCTACGAAAACACAAAAAATTGATATATTTCGCTCAGTTTTACAGCTATTGTGCTAAAATTTGGTGTGGTGGTAGCTGAGAGTTGTTCCCATCTAATAGCCGGCTCTGAGCGTGAAATCTCGCGAGAGTGCGTTCACCCGTCTAGGTTTTATCGAAACAGCTAGAGCTCTAGATGTTCGCAGTTTGAAACAGTGGCACGAAAAAAAAAAGCAACGGGCGACATGCATTTGTTCAAGGACTGCCTGGATTTTTATTTAGCTTTACAAACTATCTGTTACTGACACACATTCACGCACACCAACCCCTCCACCCTCTGCCCGCCCCCGCCGCGCTGAGTTACGGTGTAGAAGGCGGGTCGGAGCGTCAGTGTTGGGGAGAGAGAGAGAGAGAGAGAGATCCGGTCGGCCAGTCAGCAGATGCGCTGAGAGAGGCGAGCTGAAACCTTCACTGATCCATCCGGAGGGAAAGAAGGAAGGRAGGAATCAGCATCACATCAACCCCCCTGGGGGCACACACTGCTACTGCTCCTGCTGCTGCTGGAAAGTACACCGGGTTTGCGGGATTTCGCTGTGGAATTTTGTAATTTGTCATTTTTGCGCTCGGACTTCATTCATCTCGGATGTAGCTACCTCCGTGAAAACGGTAGGAACAGATCAAAAACTGGACACTCCGTGTGTTTCAATACTAGTTTATCCTCATCAATATGCACTTAAGGTTGCGTAAAGGTGTTTGGATGATGAAAGTGGGAAACATTTCGTGTAGAATGTTTGGGTAGATATGGGGACGCGCGTTGGATGGAGAGATTGGATTAGTAGTTTGGAAGCTTTTACGCGCAGCTACATCTTCACAAATAATAGCCCAATAATTTATAGATATTTATTAAGGAAGCATTTCTGGAGGCTGTTATTCAGATTTGAATAAGTCCTTTTGTGAGAATGAGACGGAAAGTTTCCGCTGAATGAATCGAGACATTCAAAATGCCGTCAAAACTAAAAAACTAAAATAAAAAATAAACCTGCAATGGATCGATTTTGAAACGGGATTTTGGTGAACAGAATCAAGTTTTGCTCCTAAATAATAATAATAATAATCGCTAAGCAGCAACCAGGCTGCCACCATGCGAAAAACAGAGGAACATGTATAAAAATATATAATTTCAGTGCCGGACTATAGGTTTTCTGTCCGTTTGGAGATCTTTTCTTTCTTTTTTTTTTGGTTCATAGAGGGTGAAAAAACAATCTGAAAGGACAGCATTGCGGATTATTATAATATAATGGTTATTTAGGGATGCAGCTCACCTTCTCAGTTAATACTGACCTTTTCGCCACTTAATCCCAGAAGTTAATTATAACAAAACTATTTTAATCTGAGATGTTCGACGGGAACACATCTTTTTTGTAAATAAAATAATAAAACCTGGTGGCAGTTTATTTATTTATTTATTTATTTAATTATTTATTTATTTATTTATTTATAGGTAGGCCTACAGATGGAATAGTATAGGGACTGGCACACTTGTTTCCATTATTGGTCCTCTCCACCCCAACAGGTCTGGACACGCGCTTATACTCTTGTATGCTGTGACTGATGTCGGATTAAATCGTTCCTCCGGGTTGAAGCTTGGTGACAGGCAGGAAGCTCAGCAGCATCAAGGACTGGAGAGTCAGGGTGGTCCCCTGTGCGCACTGGGGGACGGGGCTGCCTTTCTACACATGTCAATAAATCCTGCTGCAGTCAGGCCRGTCCTCTCGATGCATCATTTATGGGCCAGTCTGTGACAGGTCGCGTGCCGGTCATATTTTGTGCTATTTATTAACTCAAAATAACATGTCTGTATGCAGGCAGAGTCATAACAAACTGGCTAGAATAACTATGAAATATAACATATCATATTGTGCAGCTTACTAATGTTTTAATAGCTGAGACTAAACAAATGTTATTTCATGTTATAAAAAAACATTTTCTTWCATTTTCATGACAACTATGTGAAATAAAGTGTCAGTAACAGTTATAAAGTTATCACCACATTAATCCAGTTTGTCTCAGCCTTCAAGCTAGGCAAAGGTCATGCCAGGTGCAATGAGGCATGGTTCTCATTGACGTCATCCTTCAGGTATTGAAATTTATTATTATTTTTGTAAATCTGGCCATGTTTGTGGGCTTGCATTTAGCTTGTAGCTAGGGAACCAGTATGGAGGAAACAAAAAAAAACTAGAGATAAAACAAACAAACAAACAAACAAACAAACGTGAAACAAGGCAGACAGGCGCTACTGGATCTCACTGCACAACGGTCATAAATCATGACACCAAAAACACATAAAATGATAAAGTTAATCTGGCACTGTTTGTGTTTATAATCTGATGGTGTAAGATCCTACATGTACATTTACTTTGGATGTAGCGTTGCCATTTGTTTTGTATTTTTGGACGTCTCGTATTTTCAGCCAAATTGAAGTGTCCCATACGGGATGCTCTTTTTCCTGTATTCTGGTTGCAGCCAGCAATCAGAGCTGCCATGTTACAATAAGCAGGTAGGAATTTGTATAGCACTCCGAGCTGAAGGGGGACCCTGAGGTACGATACTGAAGTGGCCAAATGCAACAACCGTACGAAATGCTGAGGACATTGTAATAACCGTCATAGTCACGCTACCCCCTTAAAGGGCCCTGTGACATCAGCAACACAGACTGCAGCAGCTTCATCAGCCTGTTTACTGAGCTTTAGCACAGGCTACATGTAGCATGTCGATTATATTTGAACCTTCCTCTGGTTGGCTGTCAATGTAAGCAATTGATCATGACTAGATTTCTGCGGAGAATTGCATATAAATATTAGTTTTTCATTGGTTAGCTTCTGCCTATTAGAAACTAATTGCAGACGTGTACCTTGGTAACACGTTTTTGTCTGATATGATAGATAAGCATTTCTATCAAATTAAAATAATGSTTGTCAATAGCAAACTCAGTTTCTTTGTGGTGACCTAAATTGATCATGTCTTGGTTACCACATTCAGCTTCACCAGGTTGTCCTCACCCCAAATAATATGGCCGCTCTCTCCGACCATAAAAAGTCACACTATAGAGCCTAGATCAGTGGTTGGGAGTTTCATGGAACCACTRGTCTAGAGCAATGGTTTCATAACTTAAGAGGTTCCAACTTCTGTTCCTAACTCAAAGCCATTTCCAAGCCAAGCAGAGCCACTCCTCACCCCATTCCTCACTRCTCCCCACCTCTCTCAAAGGTGTGTTCAACGTTTATCTCTTTATCAAATAATGAACTCATTATTATAAAGTTTTATTTGGAAAAGGAAAAACAACTTTTTTTGTTGTTTTCCAGTTTGTTTGGGGGATGTTTATGTAACAAGGTTATGGCCTCCCTTGTGCTCTCTGGTGCCCTTAGGTTGGGAACTTCTAGTCTAGATGTTTTTATTTCTGTTTGTTTGAATGCACTTAGTCTAAACAGTGTTCAGCCATGTTTCAGCTGTGCTCTGCAGTCATTTTGACATCTGACAACACTATACATTGAGGAAATTTTACTATCACAATGTAAAATATCAATAAAACAAATTTAAAAATGTTTTTTTATACAAAAGTTAATAGAAAAGCAGTAATGCTGAATGGTGACCTTATGGATATTAATGGTTGGGGCATGGTATATGCATTAGTAACAGTAAAAAGGTCAGTTGTGCATCATGATCTTGATCAATATGGGTTAAGGTTGTCCTGTACTTCTGAGCTGTACAGAATGCATTATTCTCAGTTACCCCCAATCACCCAAAACGGAAATGGAAGCAGTTAGTTTAGACATGACTCATAAGCTTCCAAGTCTTAAGGAAGATGAGTTCAAAGTGAATCTAAAGTAAACGTGCTCTGTGGTGCACAGTCAACCAAGCACAAAAGGCCTGCATGAGTTCTCTGTACCCCTCCTCTGAGGCTGATATGGTAACGTCAGCTTTTTTAATCACCTCTGATTTTTTGGATTACGTTAGTTACTGTGTGGATGTTAGCAATTAACTTTAGATCATCTCCTAATTTTCAACTAGGGTAAGACTTTCTTGCAATGCCCTTGAACAGGCCTCAGTATCACTATGCTACTTTGTGATATAATTTGTTTACTACAGTTTATGATAGATACAAAAATATTTATTAAAAGAAAATCCTATGTGAAAAGTATCATCTATCTATCTATCTATCTATCTATCTATCTATCTATCTATCTATCTATCTATCTATCTATCTATCTATCTATCT